GGATAATGTGATTAAATATTAACCACATGGTCTTTGCTTCGGTTCCGCCCTCAGGCTAAACTTCACATTTGTCTTACCTCACTAGTCGCCAGGACCTACCAACGTTTCCCTTCCATATTTCATCCACCAAATGATTTAATGATGACTTGATGAATGTTCTGACAGTGTCAGTACTCACCTGCATGAGGACAGCAGGTCCCAGGTATTTGTCTCCGTTCCACCAGTAGCTGGGACAGCTGGTGCTGCAGCAAGCACACAGGATGCACTCGTACAGACCGTCCTGCAGAGTGAAGAAGAACACATTATTCTCACCATCTTTAGACTCTTTTATGACTTCATCGGTGAAGCACAATGATAACACTGAAGGTTTCATTTCTTCAAATGTAATAACTCAAGACACGTAAGATGACGTATGTCTTCATAATAGGGTCAAGTTATCCGGATTTATTTACCAGTTTCTGTCTGTCCTCCACCGACTGGAAATACTGTGACTTCCCTTCCTGAGTTTCATCCTTCTTTTTCAGGTAGGGCTCAATGGATTTGTACTGAGCATAGAAGTTGCTCATGTCCTGGTGGAAATAAAAACCACAGGAAAAATCAATACAGGCACTCAAACAACCAATAGTTTGGACTTCAATTTATGCTATTTCACACTTCAGTCATCCTTATTCTCTCTGTTCATTAAGATCGACTATAAAGATAAAATATATTTAAATGTAAACTAAAAACCAATCTAGGTAGTTTCCGTTTGAGCTCTCTAATAAAAACACTGTTTCATAAACATATCATACTGTATACAACGTAATGTATTTATAATCCTCTTTGTTAATTCTTATTGTTTACCAACAATTACTGCTTATTATTGTAATATAATTGACTCATTTTTTGTGTTTCATGGAGCGCTGGTGGCGCAGTAGTTAGTGTGCGCGCCCCATGTTCAGAGGCTGTAGTCATCCAACCGGGCGGCCCGGGTTCAAATCCGACCTGTGGCTCCTTTCCCGCATGACATTCCCCTCTCTCTCTCTCTCTCTCTTTCTCTCTCTGATTTCTGACTCTATCCACTATCCTATCTCTCCGATAAAGGCATGAAAAAAAAAAAAAATCTTTATCTTGTGTTTCATAATCTTAACTATCCAATTTGTATTGTTGTTTTCACTGTTGTTGTTTTTTTGTTTAGGTGTAAATAAGACTTTATCCATGGGTCATAATGTTCCCATGTTCAAAAAAGGGAAAGGTCCACTTTAATGACTTGCAGTACTTACAGGCACCAGATCTTTGACCACATACATGTGTGGGAGCGGGTAGATTTTAGTTGGTTTGCTTGTGTTGCTGTCAATTTTGTTCAAACATGCCAGTGTGTTTCCTCCGTTTATGTTCATTGCACATGAGCCGCAAATACCTGGAGAGATACAAAATCAATGGGTCACTAGAATCAGGCACAGAGGTGCACTCAGACAGTCATGTTAATATATTTCAGGTGAGTCATTCTAATTATTATGTGCTAGTTGATTGTTTGTTTCTTACCCTCTCTGCAGGAGCGTCTGAATGTGAGCGTAGGATCCATCTCATTCTTGATCTTAATGAGAGCATCCAGAACCATTGGACCACAGCTATTTCAAAAAGAACATCAATATATTATCACATTAATTTGATTAATGAAAAAAAGCTAGGACAATGTTCTGTTCATGGACACTATTTGTCCTTACTTGTTGAGGTCAATTTCATAAGTCTGCATCCGTGGTTTGTCTCCTGCAGTGTCGGGGTCCCAGCGGTAAATCTGGAACTTCTTGATCCTGGGTTCAGGAGCCGGGGCAGCAGCAGTCTGTGCATACCGCACCATCTAAATCACAGATAATATAAGACAACACAGAAGAGTTAATGTATATGAATCACAGGGATACACTCAAAACAGAAAAGCAAAATGTGACCTGTTAGGTCAACCAAGGCTAAAATAGGAGGCCCTTGGTATTTATATCCTGTAATGCTCAGTGGTTACCAATAGTACCAATAGTACTGGTACATCAGGTACAACAAAATGATGGGACTTTATTTGTAGTGAAAGTCTACAACATTTAAAATGACAACTTATTGGAAGGACAAATAGCAGACTTTTATACTGAGACAAAAGTTACACTAAGGTCAAAATAAATCAAGTAAAATGTGTTTAAATATACATTCAACATTATATTCAAAGGACACGTATCATAATGAAACTCTGTGTAATCAATTAATAACACACTGTATCTTTTATCTGTGCACATTATAACACTATTTAACCCTTTTGCGTAAGAGTCATAGATAGGTGTAGTTGCTCCCCCTAGTGGATACTTGAATGAACAGACATCAAAGCGTTACATCACTGTGAAATCTCTGGTTACCTAACTGACTCTTTAAGGGCAATGTAAGACACATTTAGCAGCAACAATTTAAATTTGTTCTTATAGTTTTGAGATGTAAACAAACGTATGAAAGTGTACCCTGACTGCTAAAACAGTGTAAATATACCGTGGTACATCAGTCTTTACCGGTAGTGAGTTTCACAATAGCTAAGACCATGTTTACTATGTAGTAACTAAATATATATTAATAACAACATTTTGTCTTTTTATGTGCAGTATATCTGTACTATTGTCGTCCACATGAATAGTAAAGCAGATAGTCTTTTCAGTATTACGTGGCATTATCACACATTTGGCCTTGAAGAAAGGTGTGTTACTACAGGTCGTTTATTGACGAAGCTACACACTTTTTGCAATGACATACGTGGGGATGATATACTGCAGCCTTTCATAAAACTAACAGCTGATAAATTAACACGGAAGCCCATTCTTCTACGTACATTTTAAGTAACACATGAGTCATGTATACATGTTGAGACTGGTTAAATGTTCTGTACTTACCACCATAGAGCCACAATTCCTAATAGCCAAAACATTTCGACTCAAAGCAACACAAACCGCCGACATCTTTCCGACTTTTCAAGCGTTTATTTCAGTAAAAACACTTCAGGAACAGACCAGACTGCTCACTTTTGTCTCTACTGCACTGTATGTAACCAAAAGCTCCGCCCTACGCACGCTGTCACATGACGTAGGGTACGTTGCGCTGCGTAACAATTGCTCCTTCAGTTCTCTCACCCAGCTCGTTCTTCCGACTATCTGTCACGCAAATGTTCTTTTATACTGCATCTGAAGACGAATTTAAATTAAACTAATACTAACCGTGGATTTAACGCTAGCCGTGTATCTATATAAAATATAAACTCTACTGAAATGTGTAATACATTTACACACAATTCATGGATCGCTTATGTATCCCAGGGCTCCTGAATGCACCATATGTCGTAGCCTCTTTCACAACTCTCATATAGATGTGCACGAGGGTCAATTACATACCCATAAATGAAAACATACAGTGCTGTGAATGTCTCATGTGCAATTAATTGAAACTGTTCTATATGTTTAATAGTCATAATTTACCTTGGTACCTTTATTCCAGCAGTAATTTATCATTTTACTATAGTGAAGTGTTAATTTCCTTTATCAAAAAACTACTAACCTAAATCTAAACAAAATGCAAAACATTAATTGTTAGAAGGTTAGTCTGTACATTTTATTAGTCTCAATATGTTCATTCAAGGTAATCATAATAAAGTACTTTAAATGTGTTTTGTTGCTCAACATGTCCTTGACTATTCCATTTTATATTCATTTTATTAAAAAAAAATTCCTGCTTCAATAGTATTATAGCATAATCTGAAAAATCAATAAGTTTTAGTCTTAATTATTATTATTATCACTGTGATAAGACACTTTGATGTATGTTGCCGTGATAAAGGACATTAAATGAAGGAAGTGACTCTGTGTGGTTATAGTCTGTTTTATATATGATTTATTTTGATGCAATGGCTCCCAGTCTGTGCTCATTTAATATGCATCACATCACCCGGACAGAGATGTACACAATGAACTATTCTGATGGTAATGAATTTCAAGGTCATGGGAGCATTGTATATGCTCATGTAAATTTAAATTTATTCAATGATCTCAGTGCACAGAGCAAATAAAATAGAACATTCACCTCTCTCTCTCTCTCTCTCAAGATCTGAGATAAACTTTGCACCTCATTTGTGAGATTAGTACTTAACATAACAGGGCGCCAAAACATTAGACTCAGACTATGAGAATATATTACACATTGTTCTCCAGTTAGATCCATGTTTTCATGTAATCTATTTTAATATTGTAAAATGTGTATATATCACATATACAAATAAACTGCGTACTCCTTGCATATCACAGTAATAAATCTTAACATGGGGAGAAAGCTTGAACGTAAAGGATACCAGAAGCAGCCTTTAGCCTACAGGGTTTTTTTTAAATGCCGTTGTATGTGTATATATACAAGGAACTGGCATCAAGTTTCAGGTTGCTCTCAATTTACATGCACATCCCATTAACACTTTACAGGAAGACAGAAAGAGGCGTACAGCTAAATATAAGGACAACAGAGCTGAACATAGACACAGATAGTCAAAACAAACATGTCACATGTTCCTGCAAATTGTGAACGAAAGGTCAAGTTTAATGAGCAGTGTGATGGATGACTCTTTATGCATGAATGGGTGTTGATTTAATGCTTATGTATATGATATACATGCAGTTTCAAACGTGCAGGCTTTATGAGTATATTATATTAATTCATATAGCCCCCCTCTTTTTCCAAATAAAAGAATGAAGCTGACATCTCCTGGCAGATAAATAAAACCTGAGTTGTCTTTTGTTATTTCACGTTAGACCACATCACGACACCATAAAAACAAGTGCAATTTAATCAATTAAAACAAATAAAGTTATTGTTATAAACCCATTCTCCCTTCTTCCGTTCAATGTTGTATAAATCAATGTGGTAGTCTAAATTGATATGTTAGGTTTGTTTTATTTTGAAAGTTTGGACCGGATATTACCTTGCATCTTTTGTTGTACTTGATTGTCGTTCAACAAGAGCATGGGTACGAGTATCACCGGGGGGTTGGGGTACTACTGACTGAAACTCAAAGTGCAGCCTGTCGCTCGGTCTCCATTGAAGCAGCATGTCGTGGCTCTTTGGTTGGGGGAAGAGCTCTGGGTCGCAGCCGCCTTTAGATGAGCAGACGGCGGCTGCTTCAGGGGAAGGCGGCGGGGGAGCCCCTGGAGGATCCGGGGGAAACAAACCCGTAGACAAGTGGAGCAACTTTGACCCGACTGGGCTGGAGAGAGCTGCAAAAGCTGCAAGGGACCTCGACAAATCACGTGCGTAATAGTGATAATTTATTTAAACCAGTATTTAACTAAAGCACCATTTTAATTTCTTCATATCGTTTCCAATTATACATCAACACTTCATTCATCAGTAAGCTAACTGGAATGGAGAACACATTCCTGTGTTGGGACTTTCTGTTCTTTTTGAATGAGAGTCCCTCAAGCAGAACTTCATAAAGAAAAACACACATCTGAAAGAAACGCGTACTGGCCAGTGTACACACTTTGAAAAGCCACTTTTTATGAGCACTGCTGAACTGTCGAGTGTCATTATTGATTTCGGCATACACTGTCAGACTGAGAAGCAAAGTGTTGATAACATTTCAACTTTGTACCTCCACAAAGAACCGGTAAAAACCGTGCAACAAGTGTCACCCATTCTGTTCTGCCATAACTACATGTATACATGTCATCACAATTATTAAGTTTTTAAAGGGGATTTTGCTAGTCAGATGTCCTTCTATCAAACGGATGTCCTTTTTGTCAAGCTCGGGGGAACCGAGCATATCGACCTCCTATTGATTGCAGCAGCCTACATGCTGCTTGCAACATGCCTGCTAGCCTGCTTGACCTCCACGCTGCACATGTAGAGGTTTGGTGGGCGTGTCCGAGCATCGAGGGAACAAAGTGTCCTTGCAAGATCAGCCTTTCACCTGTCTCACACATCACTCCCTTCATATCAGTATGTGCATGTTAACATGCTTCATCTGTTCTCTTTCATTGGCATATATTTTACCCAAGTGCGTGCCAAGCACAGTACATGTTTGTTTTTTAAATACACCCTTCATATTTCTGCTCTTCTTTCTACAAATACACTGACAAGCAGGCTTAGTTTTGCTATAAGTGTATTATGCTCAAAAGGACTGGACTATAATTGTCCAGGTTGTTAATTTTAAATTGCTGAATGAATGAAGCAGTTGTTTCTTAATTATAACCACAGGACATGCAAAGGACGCTCTGGGGCTGGCTCGTATGCAGGAGCAGACTGTACAGCTGGAGCATCAGAGTAAAGTGAAAGTAGGTGCTGGAGGAGGGGGATTAATTGCATAGCAGCCCATAGACTGTATAACAAGAGCTCTAATATACAGTCAGTTATCTAACATGTGTGCCTTTTGATTAGTGTCAGAAATTCACTTTGAAAGCTCATTGTAAAAGATACGGGTTAATTAAAGTGGAACAAAGTTAAACTATTTCAATGTAATTCAATATGCACAGGATATACAATGATAATATATATTTATAATAAAAAGTCATATGCAAGGTAAACAAGGCCACTCCATAGAGCTTATTGAAAACATTTTCACTTTTTAACAGATCATACCAATGAAAAACATACAAAAAAACATCAAAATAGCACGATTAATCCATATTCACTTGCATACTATAAAGATATTTACGATACTTATTAGCCTGCCACAGCATCTCCTTACATTTGTCTATATTGGCAAAAATAAGTTGACAAATTGACACCTCTATTTTTCACATTTTGCGAAAAACAAATGTGGTTTAGTGTTTGTTGATGAAGTGGTTAAGTGTACAAAATGAAACAAAAAAAAGTAATTCAACAGCTTGAATTAATATGAAATGTAGTCTTACTCCTGCATGCTACCTCAAAATGTAGTTCCACTGCCTTCGGTCTTCCTTTGGTGTAATTCTTCCATCCTCTGATACTCTGAATTGTTTACTGCTTGATCCTGATGTCAGTAAACACAACCCAATTGAAACTCTCTCACAGGAATATGAGGCGGCTTTGGAGCAGCTGAAGGGCGAGCAGATCCAACTCCAGGGGGAGGAGAGACGGAAAACCCTCGTTGAGGAGACCAAGCAAAACCAGGCGGTAAAGAAATGACACTGAACACAACACGCTCCTCTGACAGTGAAATATAAATGTTTCTGATGAGAAGATACATTTAACATGTGAACGTAATGAATCGTTTTCTCTATCCCCTCCAGAGGGCACAATACCAAGACAAACTTGCCAGACAGAGGTATGATGATCAGCTCAGGCAACAGGTGAACCTTTGAAATGGACACTTGAAATCATTACCTGAAAACCACAGCGGAGCGTTCATGTAACCTTATTTTCTATCAACAGCAATTCGTCAATGACGAGAACCTTCGCAAACAAGAGGAGTCGGTTATGAAGCAAGAGGGCATGAGAAAAGGTAGAAGAAGAAAACAGAATGAAGACTTGCATTTACACATTATTCATCAACTTACAATGTCAAGACAAAGCTATTTATTCATGCTGCATAAAAGAAGGAATTGTTAAAACAGCATCATAAGTATAACGGCCCCTTCAGAATAAAATCATTGTATGTTTTATTAAAGGAGCTATTAAGTGATCCATCCTTTTTAATAAGTTACAGCTAGAATCTTTCACTTTGTTAAACTTCATTTATGTAAATCTGAGCAGGGGATGTAAGTAGGTAGCAATGAGTTTCTGCTCCTTTTCTTCTCAGCTACCATCGAACACGAGATGGACCTGAGACACAAGAACGACCTGCTTCGTATTGAAGCCGAGGCCAAAGCCCGGGCCCAGGTGGAGCGAGAGAACGCAGACCTGATCAGGGAACAGATCCGCCTGAAAGCTGCTGAACACAGACAAACTGTCCTTGAATCTATAAAGTGAGGGCAAAAATGACTCCCCTCTCTCCTTAATCCTGACAGTAACTGGCATGTTATCTCCTGGTATCTCTCTCAGCTGTTTCTCAGAGGGCTGAAGTCAAGTGTGTGTGCCACAGTGGAGGCGGTCGGTGTGATAATTGTGTTTTGTTTTTTCCCTTCCTGGCAGGACGGCCGGGGCGGTGTTCGGGGAGGGATTCAGGGCCTTTGTCTCCGACTGGGACAAACTCACAGCCACGGTAAATCCATGTCAGACCTGTCAGACTTTTAACACTTTAACCACAGGAGGAACACAGAGGATTATGGGAAATAGAAGTTTTCATATTTTGTAATGCTCAACAGTATATTTGAAGAGGTGTGTGTATGCACTTTTGCCGCCCGCAGGTTGCTGGTTTCACACTGTTGGCAGTCGGAGTTTACTCAGCCAGGAACGCCACATCGGTGGCCGGGCGCTTCATCGAGGCTCGTCTGGGTAAACCGTCTCTGGTCCGAGAGACCTCCAGGTTAACTGTTGCAGAGGCCATCAAGCACCCAATCAAGGTCGGACTTTATGACAATTTTTAGAGTTTTTACTAGTTTGTGTTCGCCTGCTAAGTCCAACTTGTGTCATGCAGGGTGAATGAAAGTATTCTAAACAGAGATTTCATTGTACGTTGTCATAGCGACTGTGCACAAAAAACAGTGGTGTGTCTGGAGCCTTGCTTTGATTGAGGTTTTTGGGCATCATCCTACCAATGTAACAGTTGTATATGTGATGAATGTAGTTTTTTTAAAAGGGTTGAATCCCCAAGTCTGTAATGTTTGCAGGGACTTGAATCTGTTAGCTGCAGAGCGGGAGAGTCGCTGATGAAGTGTAAAAATGATGAACATTTTCTGAATATTATGACTATATACAACAAAAACATTTGCACTTCGCTTTCAGCCAAAGTTTCTCTGCCTTTCCATTCCTCAATGATTAAGTGCTCACTGTGTCATTCTCTCTGTTTTCATCATTCTTAGACAACCAAGCGTCTGAGGAGCAGACCACAGGATGCCTTGGACGGCGTTGTGCTCAGCGTGAGTCATTAACGGGCTTGTCGTTTTGTTTTAATGTATTAATGTCTTTTTGAATTCAACATTCATGAAATGTCTTTGTGAGAAGTGCTTAGTCTTGTCAATGTGCCATGGATCTCACAGGCGAGTTTAGAGGAACGTGTTCGCGACATTGCCATCGCCACTCGCAACACGAGGCAGAACAAAGGCTTGTACAGAAACATCCTGATGTACGGGCCCCCTGGAACTGGAAAAACTCTCTTTGCCAAGGTAAGACTGAGTCAAACCCCTTTTGGACTTTTTAACCATATATTTTTTCTTTTCATTAGACAGTTAAAGGTGAATACAGTGAGCTTTAACATGAATTGAAGTGTGTTTTGCTGCTGCTTTCTTCACATTTTCATGAAACAGAAATTAGAAAAAAAAAAAGGTTTTCATGAAGATGCTTTAACAGTCAAGAAACTAGATTGACTCTTCAGGCAAAAAATATCTGCCCTGGTGGTTTTATGCATCACTTATTCTGCTTTGTTTTGAATAAAAGAAGAATAAATCAGGCGTTGGCTGTGATTGGCTGCCCACAGTGAATAACATACCAATGATGTGGTTCATTTATTTCATTCATTAGCATGTAGTCTGGTAGCTTTTTTGTTAATACGTTTTAACATGGTTGTGTATTTCTTTGTTTTCCTCACTGGTTCTTATTAAAAAATCATTTTTCCCATTACCTCTCAGAAACTGGCTCTCCACTCAGGAATGGACTTTGCCATCATGACAGGAGGAGACGTGGCACCCATGGGACGTGATGGAGTCACCGCCATGCACAAGGTGTTTGACTGGGCCAGCACCAGCGGCAGAGGGTAGGGCGCTTTAATGTGATCCATTAAACATCATATGATTATATACCATAATGTGTAATCAGCGGTTCTATATTGACTCTGAGGAGATTATATGTTATGCTGCATCAAGAGCTTCTCTAATTCTACTGAGTAATTACTTTAAAGGCCTTAAAGAAAAACAGCGGCTCATTCTCTTTGATGTTCTCTGCTTCTCTGCAGCGTCTTGCTGTTCGTGGATGAAGCTGACGCGTTCCTGCGTAAGCGATCCACTGTGAGTTCAGCTGCAGTGCCATATGCATGGTGATGACGCCCTGTGCTTTAATCGTGTATTCATGAGTCATGTTTTTTTGCATCGCAGGAGAAAATCAGCGAGGACCTCCGAGCCACCCTCAACGCATTCCTGTACCGCACTGGGGAGCAGAGCAACAAGTTGGTGACTTAAATAATTCACTGTGCATGGCTGGGCATGGAAAGGTCCTCGCCATGACTGAAAAGGTCACTGACCACCACAGGTCTAAGTAGTCTCTCTCTCTCTCTCTCTCTCTCTCCCCCCCCTCAGGTTCATGCTGGTGCTTGCTAGTAACCAGCCAGAACAGTTCGACTGGGCCATTAATGACCGCATTGACGAGATTGTGAACTTTGCGTTACCAGGGCTCGACGAGAGGGAGAGGCTGGTGCGCTTGTATTTCGACAAATTTGTGCTGGGTCCTGCCACTACGGGAAGACAGTGAGTACATTGACTGTAATTCAATACTAGAGTTGCTGCGGAGCTGATTTACTACCACATAGGAGCGCAGTGGTCCCTTGAGGTAGCCTTGCTAACTCAAGTTGCATAATGATGTATATAATGTGTTCAGTCCTGAAACCAAAGTGGCTTATAGGTCTTTACTTGAAATGGTGTTTAAGTCCACAAGAAGTTGTTACAGATTGCACTGGTCAGTTGAAACCAGAACATGAATGGATGATCATTGAGATGAGTTTGAGCTCGAGGCTCGTTTACTATTCAAACCTCTTGTCCTTGAACTCAACAGGAGATTAAAGCTAGCTCAGTTCGACTATGGCCAGAAGTGCTCAGACATTGCCAAGCGAGCAGAAGGCATGTCCGGCCGTGAAATCTCTAAACTCGGTGTGGCCTGGCAGGTGAGTAGAAAAGCGCATTGGCATAAAATATGATTCCACCACTCTAAATCAAATCTTAAACCAAACCTTTATTCGATTTGTTTCTCTAAAAGGCTGCTGCATACTCCTCTGAAGACGGAGTTTTGACCGAAGCAATGATTGACGCAAGAGTTGACGATGCAATCATCCAGCATGCACAGAAAATGGACTGGTTGCTGATGGAGGCAGGTGCAGGGGTCGGCAAGGTCGGCGGCATTCTTGTCCCTAAGGAAATGGCTGCAGGAGTTTCAGCCCAGGAGGCTGCTTCTCCTGCACACACCGAAGACGCAGCTCCAACTATACAAGAGGTTCTTCCAATCATAGAGGCTGTGAGCAGCGCTGCCCAGGCAGAAGCAGCCGCTGTACCTCCAGAAATGGAGGCAGAGGTTATCCTCAAAGAGGCTGCCACTTTGGTTAAAGAAAGTGAAGTTGTAGGAACGGTTGCTGAAACCATTGCTGAGACGGCTGCTGCTGTCCCATTGGTGCAGGAGGTTGAGGCCATTAAAGACCTCACTGAGGAGGTTCAAAGCACAGCTGTTGTTCTTGATGCTGTTGTTCTTGACGCTGTTGTTCCTGAGGTGACGGAGGTGGTCACTGAGGTTAAAGAGGCTCAAGGTCTACAAGCTTCGACTGTCCAAGAAACTGCTGCTGTGTGTAAAGAAGAACCAACTTCTGATGGAGCTGTACAAGAGGCTGATGCTGCAGTGGTAGCCAGGGAGGAAAAGGATGTTGAAGCACATCTGGAAACGACTGTCTCAGCTGTTGCTCAGGAGGCAGAAGCTACAGTAGCTGCTCTACCCGAGGAGACCGCAGCCAAGTCAGTTGAAGGTGTAGGAACTGAAGCTCCTGTGTCTGCCGTGGAAACCGGAGCTGATGCAGCAAAGGTTGTAGAGGAAATTGCCAGCAATGTAGCTCAAGCAACCGAGTCCATAGCAAGCATAGTACAGGAGTCTGAAGTTATTGCAGCCGATGTGGCCAAGGTGGCTGACACAGTAGCAACTGTTACTGAAGAGATTGAGGCAGCAGTCGTCAAGGAGGTTGAAGCTGCAAGTGAGGTTGTGGCGGAGGCTGTGTCTGAAACATCAGAAGTTGCTAAAGAGGTTGAAGCAGTAGTGACAGAAGCGGTCACGGAGTCAGAGATTATTGCTACAGAGGTGGTTAAAGAGGTTGAAACTGCAGTAACTGAGACTGCTACTAAGGAAGCTGAGGTTATCACAACAGAATCTGCTGTAGAAAGTGAGGCCAAAGTGGAGCCTCTTACAGCTGCCATTGAGGGTACAGAAGAGGGTCAGAGTGTGACTACAGAGACGGCTGTCAAGGAAGCAGAAGTCTCCAAAGAAGCAGGAGTCATCCCTGCAGAAGTTCCTAAAGAAGCAGAAGAAATGATTTCAGTCGAAGTTAAGAAAGATGCCGAGGTCATGGCAGCAGAGGTGTCAAAGGAAGAAGAGCTCACCCCTGCAGAAGTTTCCAAGGAAGCCGAAGTTTCAAAAGATGCAGAGGTCACTGCAACAGAGGCCCCCAAAGAAACAGATACTTTGCCTACAGAAGATGGGAAAATGCCCGAAACTACTGAGGTTGCCGCCAAGGAAGCTGAATCCGAAACAACAAAGTCCGCAGAAGAAGTTGAGACCGTAGTCACCGAAGTCCCCAGCGAGACCAACCCAGCAGCTGTTCCCATCCCTGACTTGAAGGTCGATGAATCAAGTCCAACTGAGAAGCCGAACAAACCGAGTGAAGACCACGGCAAAAAACCACAAGACAAGCCTAGTCCAAAGAAATGATCTCTTCAAACATTTGATGCATAGAATACATATAAAGAGGGACAACGTGCCTCAACCTTCTACCGCTGTACAAAGGTGAAGCCAAAATCCTCATGTTGCGCATTTTGAGTCAGTCTGCATAGTAGGTATCGGATGGAAGAGCTGTTGTAATGATTGTAATGACGTCGTGTCGCTCCTGAAATCGGAAAAACCCAGACACGATTACCGCTATGGAAGTTCAATGACTCCTGTGTTAGTGTTTATGTTTAATCACGCCTTTTCTCCGATGCACACAGTGCCTTAGTAGCTGTCAATCATGGCATTTTATACCTTTTTATGGCATCAAATAACTACTTCAAAGAGGACTTGAACACACATCAGCATTATTTCTTGCTACCACTACAGAATGGGTTTGAGAAAATTCATTTGACATGAATTTAGATTTTCTAGTTTAAACCCATGTCCCATCTGCTAACAAGGAGGACTGGGGTTTTTGACCTATACTGCAGCCAGTCAGTAGGGGGCGCTCTAGATGATTTTTGGCTACACTTTAGGCGAGATGTTACGCAGTCCATTCTTCATACACGTCTATGATTTGATGAAATGCTATTGTAAATGAAGGGCTTTTGTTATTCTAAAACACTTGAGCCTTGAATCTAAAAAAAAGTCTCCTTGGGTTTGTCTACTTTTCTGTCAATCTGCTTGTAATGTAATAACTGTAATTGTTTAGGTGATTGTTTGTTTATGGGTTGTAGATTTGCTGAAGTCTGAGTAAAAAATATGCTTGGACAACTACGACTACCCGACTCTTTCTTCCTGCTTTCTTACTTTCTCTCCTCCGGGCATCCATACCATTTTAAGAGTCTGTGTCCGTCTGACATTTTCAGAAATCTGCCCTCTAAAAGGAATTTTCATGCATGTTAGCTGACCAGTTCTGGCAAGAGTTCAACTACCCGTCTGCAAAATGTTCGCTGAGGACATCTCTCCCTGGCTCCTGTTAGCAGGAGCGCTCGTGCAGCTGAGGACTGTCCTTGACGAATGTTTCTTTCTTTTCACCTTCCATAGAAGGACTGTGGATGCTGCCAGACCCTTAGTCAAATGTATTTTTTTGGATCATCTGGAGGATTGAATATGATACTAGATTCACAGTAACCCAGGAAATCACAGTTTACATCAGTGTTTCAGACATTATTGATTTACTGCTGCTGGCCGTTCAAGTGTTATACAAACCTTTTTAATGCACATGCAGAATCAAGAAGAAACATCGATTTTGTTGCTGTTTATATTGGCACTTAGATGATTAGTCAAACAACTAATTACTCAACAACACTGAGAGAAAATATTTTCCTTTTATGGTAATCAATTTAATATCACTGGATCCAGCTGCTAATTGTGATGAATTTTTCCTTTTCATCATTTATATTTTAACTTAATTGGTGTTCAGACTTCTGCTGGAAGAACTTTAAATATAATAATAAATTATGTCAAATTATTATGCTTGAAAAGTGGGGCGCCAGTAGCCTAGTGGTTAGTGTGCTATGTATGGAGGCTATAGTCCTACAAACCAGGTTTGAGTCTGACCTGTGGCTCCTTTCCGCTAGACATTCCCCACTCTCTCTCTCCCTGATTTCTGACTATCCACTGTCCTTTCTCTCTAATAAAGGCATAAAAAGCCCCAAACAAACAGCTGCTTTTATGCTTGAAAATCATGCATATCAAAACATATTTAACATTGTGGGGGGAAAACATTCCCCTTTGTCATTTGTTTCATGTTCAGAATAAAAAAATTCAAATCGAATCAAAACCTAGGGTAGGTAATATTTGGGCCCGATATAAGTTTTTATTTGCTTAAAAATACCCAACCAAGGTGAAACACAGTTTTAAATACCCTCACTGTCGCTGGAACAAGTCATGCTGTTCCAGTAAATAACATTGGAGGGCTTTTCTCGGTGGCGTCAGGATGTCATTGGCATTGTTAGTCATCTCAGTAGGGTTGTTAGTCAGAGCTCGTGAAATTTCTATTTGAATTATAATAAACGGAACTGAAGCTATCAGCGGGAGCTCTGAATAATCTGTCTGTTGTTGCTGCTCTGAAATAACCTCTCACCATGAGAACGTGTTCTCATCTCCGCTCATATGATTGGAATGACACAATCAAACATCAGAGGTCACTGTTGTGCTTCAATGGCACTTTTAATAAAACAGACATTTCATCCTCACAACAGCAATGTCTGGACAGAGAGGACGAGGGGAGGGCTGGGCGAGGGTTCCCTCTGCTGATAGGCTGGTTGCTTCTGATAAGTGAGTGGGAATTGGATAAAGAAAATTGAACTGTGCTGTAGAGCACAGTGTGAGGAAGGTGTTTGTGTGTGTGTGTGTGTGTGTGTGTGTGTGTGTGTGTGTGTGTGTGTGTGTGTGTGTGTGTGTGTGTGTGTGTGTGTGTGTGTGTGTGTGTGTGTGTGTGTGTGTGTGTGTGTGTGTGTGTGTGTATTGAACTGACTCATCTTGGCTGGCATTTATTTCTCCTCCAGTGTCCACTTAAGAGTGACATTATAGCAGAGAGAACCCCGACCAGAACCCCACACACTCCCCTCCCCCTCACATATTTACAGGAAAAATTAATACATTCAGTTAATTCACTAAGTAACAAAGCTAATTGAATCTGTGTTTTAGCAGAAATCACATTGTTTCACATCCAGTTTTCAAACAAACTCATGTCTCCGTTTCATTCCTCTAATCTTTACGCACACGGTCCATCATTAGGTTTCTATTGATAAAGACTCACACAAAATTCCCCCCACGCACCCCCTCTTTAAAGACTGTTAAATCCCACTTTCCCTTATGTATAACTATTTACAGAAGCAGCAATCTAACCATCACAAAAACCCACCCACCCGGCAGTCTCATTCACCCCTCCCCACCCCAACAAAGTCCCACTCCCACCCGATAGAGAAAAAAAAAACCTGACACCCGTCTTGCCGCCCCCGTTCCATACGCTGCCCACATCTTACCCTGTTCTAAAAGAGCATGCCAAGTTTAACAATGAACACAGAAAATGTCTCTATACAGAAAAAACACCCTTAAAAATGTTTTTTTTTTCTCCCTCCTCCCCAAACAGTGGACGTGGACATAAGACAAGATTTCAGTGGAAACAAATAATCATCTTGCTCCATTTTGGGATGATTTTTTTTTAGTGCTGACAGGGGCCTGGTTTAGTCATAAGAAAGTCCTGTCGTCAGGGTTTTAGGGGGCCATGTCATGAACAGTTGGAGGGCAGTTTTCCAGGGTCTCTGAGGCAACATTTGGCCATGGGGCAGTTTGGAAAGAGGGATTCAGGGGTTTTGGAGAAGATAACAGGAGTCTTAGGGAAGGGAAGTCTTGTTTTTTGTTGTAGTAATTTTTGTCGTTTTAGAGTCAGAGGTGGCGGGGACTGGGGTGGCCGTTGTGGTAGAGCTTCTGCTTGATGTGGACCATGTTGCCGCTGGAGTCTTCCAGCTGTCTGAGCTGGGCCCGGCGACGGAGGTCTCGAAGGTTGCAAAACTGTGGCAGCCATGACCAGGACGGGGTATCTGGAAAGAAGGACACAAAAGATTTCTTTGTAGTGAGAGGGCTCAGGTGTGTTGGTGTGTTAATTATATTGGTCTTTTCATAAATAACGGGTATCGTCTAGTCTGTCTGATAGATGTAAAAGATCTTATGATGGATAAGTCACTTAATCTATTATACATTTACCAAAAAAAATGTTTTTTCAGTTGTTTTTTCAACTGGGCCATTAATGTGTAATCGTTACTTTGAGTTTGTTATAATGCAAAATGTTGATCCCAGGAAAACTCACAATTGGACATTAACAATATGCAGTATGTAATGAAATCATAGTATGAAAGAAGAAGAAAATAGACATTATATCTATTGTCACTTCTTTCCATACAGTCTGCTTTGTGAGGTGAATGTGATATAATATTTTGGAAACATTTTTTGGCTGTTATTTTCATCAAAATGACAGAAACTGAAAAACAACCTAACATGTTTAAAACTGAGCAATCACCATAATGTAGATTTTGTTCTGAGGCAGAGGAAGACCAGATGTGTATCTTGCGTCCATATGTTGCAAGTTTGTGGATTTAAAAAACTGTCAAGACACTATAACATATGTCTTCAACAAACTCCTTTAAACATTGAGTTAAACATAGTAAAACAGGAGAGGGAGTGGGGAATGGGCCACTTGGAGGACCAGTCTCCGCACATAACCGTAACCTAGGGATTTCATTGTATGGTCATTGTACTGTTAGTCATGTTAACGTGTTGTGTAATTTAGTCTGAACTTTAAAAAAAGAGAAATATATTGTCTACCTTAAACATGCATTATTTCTTGTGACCAGCAGGTGGCGACTGTGCAGGGTGCAAAAAGACCTCAGTTAACATTTTCCTGAAGAGATTATGGTCTAAATTACTATTTCACGTCTTCTTCAGTAAAACATAATCTAATGTGAAATAAAAAAACACACAATGCTTTAGGGAGAGGCTATCTTGAGAAATAAAATCTCAACCACTGTAAACTGATAAATGTTTTGTCTAGCATTCAGTTGTCGGCTACTAGAAGACCCTCTTGAGGAGTCTGCAGTTCACTTTCTGTGATAAGTAGCCCACATTTTGATTCATTCTGTTTTTTTGCTGGACAGTTGAAACAACAGTTACTTAACAAGCTAACGTTAGCAGGTAGGCTAAACTAGTGTTCGCTAACCCCTTGGTCCTCTTCTGCTTCGCCCTCATTTTCTCCCAATTCTTTCAATTTTTGGCTTAAAAACTACAAAAACCATCAGATATGTATCCTCACGTTCATGTTCTTACATTTTACGTGATAGTGAGTATTTTTTTGGTTCTTTTTTAGGGGAAAAACGCTGAAAACTTAAAGCAGAACTTTCAGGAGGCGTCGCCATGGTTACTTCTATATCTAACTACAACATCCATCGGCCTATTGAGGGAAAATCTGCTCAAAATGAAGCAGGGATACAATTAAACAAACGGTAACTGTGCTGGTTCCAGAGTCATAATCTCAACAGTCACAATATTATTTGCTTTGCTTCACTCTACTTCAATGCTGCTTGATTTTAGCATAAACCACTGAAATCAGTGATGTGGCTTGTTGTAAACCAACATTGTGTTGCATTTGTTACTGTGCAGACATGAGCGACAACCATTGAATGCAGGCTTTTGAAGACTTAGCTCGCAACCCTCATGAGATCAAGACACAAAAGTGTAAAATCCTTCTTAGCCTGATGTTCTGCCTCTAAATCCAGTTAGAGGCAGACAAAACACAACAGCCAGCACCACAGAAGACTGATATGTGTGCCCAAGCAGAAGCACATAACTTCATGATTTTTCCAACATTGGCTCTAATATGTTGCCTTTTTCTTTAATAATAATGCTTTGACCTTTAATGGTATGAACAATCTTTTTCTGTCCTATGAAGAAAACAATTCAGAGCAAAATATTTTGTTAGTTTCATTGGCCAAACTCCAAAGAAAAGAAAAATCAACCTTGTAAATGCTGTTCTCGTTCAACAAACCAAATCTTCCATATAACATTCATTATTTTGAAAAAAAAAAATGGGCCAGTTACCTTAAAAAAAATGACCCAGAATCAGATGCATGAAGGTTTCTGTACTCAATGGTGTGCATCATAAAAGTGAGTTATGAGCTCCACACGGGCCTCACACCGGGAAATCTGGTGTTTGATATGTCTTTTAGTCACCAGCTTTATCTTAGCTGTAACAACTTTTAATTCTAGGAAGTAGGGGTGAGATTTTTTACAGTGAGGTCAGAGTGATGGAGACGAGATAAAAGATTGGTTCATTGAAATATCGGATGAGAAATAGTAAAATCCATCAATCCGTTCAAGGGCAGCGGGATGTTGCCCTTGATTCTTCGCACTTGCGTTTGGGATGTTGGACATGTGACACTTTTATTATTCTGGCATATTTTTTGCCAGTCAGAGGTATTTACAGGTGGAAAAAAGGGGCAGCTGGTTCTCTTATCACACTTAGCACAACTAGCAGCCATGGTGCTGTACATACAGATTACACAGGCGTGATAATAGATAGGTTGACCTGCTGTGTAGTCAGCCACTGTCTGGAAACTGAGCGGTATTTCATGAATGTGAGGTTTATAACAGAGGAGGGGATCGGCGGAGTAGACATTCCTGCTTGTCGGGTTATAAACTGGAGCCGGTGAGGCGGAGCGAGGCCCACAGAGACAGCGGGGGAAGAGAGAGAGAGAGAGAGATAGAGAGAGAATGAGCAAGCGAGAGGAGGGGAGAACCCCAGACTGCAAACCCAGAAGCAAATGGCTCTGCTAGAGGATGAGCAAGAGGATGGGGGGGGGGAGGGGGTGTTGGTGTCAGTGGTGGTGTAGTTGGGGAGGAGGGAGAGTGAGTTATTTATAGCTGTGAATGGGTATGCTGTCCACAAGGACTGCTCTGAAGGGTATCCAAAGGAAAAGGGGCAACTAAGACAGGTTTCTCTCATTTGAATAAAAGGATGGCGATGGAGATGGGGTCAGGAGAAATGATAATGCAAGGCAGCAAAATGGGAGACGAAGGCACAATTGTTATGCTATTTTAAAGGTGAGGGAAGGGATAGGGGGGTTAGCGCTGAAAGAACAGTCATCATTTTTTCCAATTATTTAAATAGTTTTTATGTTTCTCTTGCAAAAAAAAATACGCTTATCTGTATCGGATATTCACAGAGCATCAGAGATAAGAAAAAAGTAGATGCGGCAGGAAGCATTGTAAAGGAAATGGCCAGGAGTAGATTCAATAAGTGAAGAGATGGGGGAAAGGAGAGAGATAGAGATAGAATTAGGAGGGGGGGAGGAAGCAGTGGGAATCAATGTAGTGTGTGTGTGTGTGTGTGTGTGTGTGTGTGTGTGTGTCTCACTTGCCATTCCAGCTGCTCTCTCTCATTCTATTTATAGCTTGGGAGGAAAAAGTGTGTGTGCATGTGTGTGAGTGAGTGGGGGTGGGGATGTGACAGCATCTCCATCCTGAGCCCATGTAACACACACACACACACACACACACACACACACACACACACACACGTACACCCATCCCCGCTCTGTCAGCCTCACCTTCACTCCTCATCTCGGTGAGGCTAAACGAGTCTGACCTAGCATCAGCGTCACAGCTAACACACACACACACACACTCACACACACACACACACACACACGGGGACACACAGAAGCGAGGGGCATTCCCTCCCAGTACAAAAGAAGAAGCCCATATATCCCCCACTCCTTTCTGCTGATGATGAATATGGATGCCCTCTCCTCCCTGGGTGTTTTTTTACAATGATATATGGGTGTTGGAGAAAACAGCTCTTGTCTCGCACGTTGCTGCAAAACCGTCCACACCTCTGAGCAAAGCAGCAGCCGGCAACTATCAAAGCTTGTTCAAGTCAAGGCCCTTGTTTATTCGCCATATTTACATCGTTGCCATTTTCCTCCTGTTTTGTGCTCAGGGTAGGAAAGCAGAATCTCTGTTATGATATCATGCATTCATTGGTTCCCAGCCTGGGATCTGAGCCCCCATAGGAGTGGCGCCACAGATCTAAGGGGGGCACATATTACTTGAATCATGATAATTCTTCCTCTGTAGTTTATTGTAAGGTCTGTAGATAAAACTGTGTAAAAAAAATACATCTTTCCTCACTCCAAAAATATTAGGCAACTGAGTTAGCCACTGTACTTCAGGTTATAATGAACTCAATCAAAATACATTTTAAGCTCAAGGAAAAAGGTTGGGATCCATGGGTTTAGGTGCTTCTGAATATGGGAGAAATGTTCTTCTCTAGTATGATTTTGTTAGTTTTGTTAGGAGATAGGGATAATCCATAACTTTCTGTATGATCTGATTAGTTAGGAGGGGGACTCGACAAGCCCCTCGTTTTTTGGCTTCTCCTACACATTTGGTTCTGATGTTACGTTTTATTTTTTACTTCCTAATCATTATGTACCGAGTTATGTTATGGGATACACTTTTATACAAATAGCGTGTTATTATTATTGTTATGATTAATACGATACAAAAGGGCACAATATCATATGATGTGATGCAATACGATAGCATACAACTGTGCATGATATTTGATATGATATACCATAGCATACAATACCATACGGGGGACATTTGTCTAGATCCCAAATGTCTTGTTTGGTTTTGGGTTGACTCTATGAATACTAGCTGTTCTTGCAGTAATATGTAGTGGGCATCTCAAGTTTAAAGAAGTCCTTTGTTCTAGGATTGGTTGAAGAAATGTGTGACATCTGACAAACTCTTTCCATTTCAATGATTAGGACGACGAAGGGACAATGGTCCCTGACAATATGGAGGCACCACAGGTTATATTTAAAAGTAAAACATCATCCTTAAATATCTTATTTGTGCGCTTCCAGTTTGATTTCCTTAAACTTTAAATATCAAACATTGTTTTTAGTTTGTTGCTTAAATAATTCCGACCCTGCCAGAGGAGCTTTTCCATGGCGTTCCAAGTATCCAGGTCACATTTCAC